TAGTCTTCCAAGCCATGCGCCGGATCAAAGCGGAGACTAAACGACATATGGCAAACTAAACTATTCGGGTCACCGAGGCTGAAAAGGCAGGGACATAGTGGCCAATGACGGCAGAGTTGGTGCGAGACTCGGCCAACACAACGCCCATAACCAGACTGCAGCCGACGGTGGCTTGGGCTTTTTTTTGCGCAGGTAACTAGATGTCCAAGCCTGACCGTTATCCAGAGGTCAATGCTGGATTGGTCACAGGTGAGAGTATAAGGGACACAAGGTTTGTACTCAGCTGGCCGAGCCTGTCAAGTCGACCACAAGGTCAGGTATGTAGCCATCCGCAACCTGACGAGCAGAATTCACGCCGCGCCACCGCCATCTTTGGGTGTACCTAGTGCAGAGAGTAGAACATGGCTCTATCTTCGGTGTGATATAACCTCGTCTCGCCTACGAGGACATCGACCATGTCTACATTCTTTGTTTACCTGACTGCATATCATTCTGTCTGCCAGCATCGTTTGATTAGTTTATTCCTTTTTTTTTATCCTTTTTTTACTAATACTGTGGCGCCCCAAGCCTCTCGCGGTGTATGGTTATGAGTCTGTATTATTGAACGAGTTAGGCGGACATCTGGAGCCTAGGATAGCCTGAGAATCTGACAAAATGTCCTGTCACGGAGCAGGTTGCACAAGCTTCACAAACCAATGTGTAGCTATCATTCAGGGGCTCAGTTCTCCAATACCAGGACTGGTTGATAAGTCTGGGTTTCCAATCAGTGCTCCCGGCGCCGGCACTTGGGGCGTCAACTACACTACATGTGAGAAGTATTGCGGCTTCTCCAAGATTTCAGTCGTACGTATTCATTCCTCTCCAGCAAGGGCTAAAAAACGACTTCGGTGCTAGCGACTGATTTGTCTTCTCCGCGTCGTAGGCAAGCACCTTCAACTTCGCCACATTTGCGGCCGCGATGACCAGTTACTTCTTGCCCTGGCTGGCCCTCACCGCTCAATTACCCTTCGAGAACGCGGGGCCCAGTGAGACTTTCGTGGGTCTTTGCCTTGCCATCGGAAGCCCTGCCCTCATCACTTACTCTCTAGCCCTGACGCTCTTCAACCGTAGCTGGGCAGTTGATACAGTCCGGCGAATACTCAACAGGTCCCGCAGATATAACAGAGAAGCTGCTGCTGAAATTAGGCTTATTGAAGATCGACTGAAATCGTTTCTCTGCCTCGCTGTCGAGGGGCAACAAGTTCCCCTCCGGGCGACCGTTGCTCACCACTGGCTTAGCAGCCTCATTGTATCTCCAGTAAACCAGGCATGGTGGACAGCGCTGAGAGACCACATCACTAATAGTCGTCGAAGGCCATCCCTCTCCTTCCACGTTCAGGTAGGTCTGGCTGGATGTGTGTGGCTTTTTACGATCATCTCCGGCGTGCAGGTGGCGTTGGGAGCCATCAACACTGCTATCCACCTTGCAACGTCAACACTCTGGGTCTGGTTGGTAGGTTCCAGATAATGTAGAATACTACTATAAGTTTTAAGCTGGCTAACGTTTTGCCAGATTCCGGTAACCTGGGGGTGGATCTGGGCGGGAACTCAGTATCATAAGGGATCTGTCACAATCAGTAAAGCTCTACAGGCTGCGACGGCCTATCATGCGCTTCCAGCATCAGAGGATTTTGCAGAGAGTCCAACGCAGGATGGAGTGCAAATAGGCATCTGGGTAGACGTGGAGTCAGGCCTTACCCTGGAGCCTAGACAAGCAGAGGCGCAACAAGTGACCATGGGTCCCGTGGGCCATCAACCTTCTAGGCTGCCTGAAACCCTGATGATGAATGTTCGTGGGGATGAAAGACAGGAGGGTCCGGTGTACAACTACGCTCGCGTCTTTACCTGGTCAGCGTTCACCCGGCGCATAATTGATGCCTTCGACACAACCTTGACGAGACTGGGGAATGGTGTGAGATGCGACATGCTGGATCTACAACGAACTCAGCAGCAGGCTCAGCAGGGACCTCCCATTGGTGGTTCAATTCTAGTTGGAACCGCAAGCCAGACATCAACTTACTGCGGCCTACCTGTCAGTTACCCCGATATTCCACCAACCAATCAACCCACCCCGGTCAGAGCGTACATCAACTTCTCCGAAATGGGTGTAGACGTCTACAAAAGAATTCTGGAGGCCCTCATCGTGGCTCTCTTCACACAGTGGGGCACGACTGGGGCCGCTATCATTATGGCCTATTACACCCCCATGATAGGGTTTGGCTGCCGGTCGGGGTCCTACCTCCTATATGGCATCTTAAGTACGGTTGTGCTTTTCATCCTTATACTATCCATGGCTCTATCCCACCAGGCCATGAGGATGTATCAGGCTGAGCATATTCGACCCCCTACCACCAACTTCTCAAAGAGATGGACAGTGACTTGGACGCATTGGCTCTTCTGCTTTGGTTCGAATATCACTCGGCTCGCTGGCAAGTTCCTTGCTGTCGCAAACTCCATTGTCCTGGTCCAGATTGCTGTCCTTGAGTTTGTCGGTCTTTTTGACAATTGCTGGTGTAAATCATGTCACTTGCAGTTCGGAGACAATGGATACGCGGTGCTCTTCCGGTCTAATGAAGACTATCAGAAGATTGCTGAGGGATCTTGGATCGGGGGACTTTCGATGGCTACAATTGTGACCTCTATCCTCTGTTTAATATTTTTCTTTTCGACAAGAAAGGGTTAGGATAGGTATCGCAGGGTAGGCATGATCTTCACGGCCTCAGGAAACAACTGTATTAGTAATAACATTATAATAAAATTGAAAACTTCAAATTCTTCCTCTTTTTAAAATATATAAAACGTTATTTATTTCTTTTTTTATATAATTTAAATAATAAGGCTACAAGGCATTAAATAATAGGAATAACATGGTTAATAAGGCGGTCAATAGGCGGACGGGTACCCGTCCTTCTAAAATAGGACGGGTCCCGTCCCAATTACCATATCTGGTATAGCTCACTCCGCTATCG